TATATATATATATATATATATATATATATATATACATACATATTTGAAAGTCTCTAGTTAATTTTTTTTTTCTTTTTTAGAATTTCTTTAAACATCAAAAAATTATCTATTTTAATACTGTAGATTTAATTACACAAAGAGTGAGCAAAAAATTGTGATCTTAAAAGGGGCTTTATCCCTTCATTTTTTAAATGTGACGGGGCCTAACCCCCCCCCCGGTTCCGCTGTCCCTGCTGACCGGGGTTGATACGTGTGTCTAAAAATGCAAAATGTGATGACCAATAAGGAAAAAAAATCCATTAAAAGAGATTAAAGTAATTTATTATTTATTATTTTTATCAAAGGTTTTCAGTTCAAAAATTTCATTAGAAATATTATTATACATGGTGTTAATTACAAATGAATAATTAAATAGAGAAAAAAATGTTTCGAGCACTTTTCACTTCTTTAGGCGCAGCTATAATCACTATTGGACTTTAGAATGTTTTAGTTACTAAGAAGTTATCGTAGCTATAATCGCTTTTGTAGTTTAGAATGTTTTAGTTACTAAGAAGTTATCGGAACTATAATCACTATTGGAGTTTAGAATGTTTTAGTTACTAAGAATTTATAGGAGCTATAATCACTATTTGACTTTGAAATGTCTTAGTTACTAAGAAGTTATCGCTGCAAAATTTCTGTGTAAAGATTTATTCATTTATTTACCAAAGATTTTTTTTAATTACAATTATGTCTTTTTTATGTAACATTACAAAAATAAACTATTGAATTAGTTTTTTCTGTTATGTTATAATAATTTTAAATTATTATTGTTGTTAGGTTTGTGAAGAGTGATAGTTTTGAAATTTAAAAGTTGTGCATTTCGATGGGGTGCTCTCTTATCAGGTAGGAATATTTTATTGTTAATGTTATTGCAGAATAAATTGTTTTTGCAGCAATTAATATTAACAGAACATCAAAGAAATTGATTTTAAATTATTAAATATTTATAATTATTAAATATTTCAAACGGCACATTGGAAAACTTAACTTAAAATAAAATTTAACAAAACATGAAATTTAAAAAAAAAATATCAAATTTAATATTCAAGCCAAGCTTTGGAAATAGCTATGAAATTGTTCTTTGGTCTTTGTTACATAATATCGACATAAATTTACACTTATCAAAATTAAAAAATTGCGATCGCCGAAAGGCGATCACAAGTTATATATTGTCAAAATGGCTGTTGTCTAATTTTTTTTACCCTCTTTATTTGTGATAATCACCTGAATTAGTATTGAAAACGATTCAGTTTGAACTGTAGGTTAGAATTTCTGATTCTTAATTAAAACAATAAAAACAAAAATATCTTTCAAATGATGAAATTCTCTTTTATTCACAACTCAGAGAATTGGATCTCTCTGGTCCCATATCTCAAAAATAAACTCACCAACTTAATGCATAACAAAATTAAAAGTCAAGAAAAAAATTCTAAAAAAATTAACAAACAGCAGCGGTTGCCATTACAACGCAAAGCAATGACGACGCATGCGCACTGTTTAATATTACTCTTGAACACAGTTGAAAAGTGTGATGACGTATGAATAAGGTGCGCGTGCCATCAATCCCAAAACAACACCCATTTTGCCAGCGGGTAGTAAAATAAATCTCATGCCATTCATGAACTCACGCATAATTAATAAAAAAAATTAATTTTTTTAAAATAAAATGCATGCTTTGATGTATTACGCTTGATTTTATTTGTGATTTATTATAAGTTATTAAAAAAAATTAATTTTAAAAGTCAACGTAACGCTCAATAACTTTGCACAAATAAAATCACACGCAATGATTTTAATAATATTTTGAAAGGCTTAAAGAATAAGCTTAGCATTCTTTAGGTGGAAAATTTTAAAGAATGAATGAATTAAACATATTTATAAAAAAAAGGACGAGACATTTAGTGTTGGGTTAAATAAGATTAAAAAAAAGAAAAAAAAACACACACACACACACAATTTGAAAGGAAATAATTTTTCTTTAAAACTTTTATCATCAACAGTAAGTCCGACATTTCAAAGTTATAATCAAAAAATAATTCTATTTCAATATAATTTATTCCCTTAAAAAAAAAAAGACAAATTTCAGACTTAAAATCCATTTAGAACTCTTTTACTGTTCATCAGATGTAGTTTTATTGATTTTGAAGACGATTATCAGATCTAGCTTCTTTTAACAAAAAGATTATGTCGTCTCGTTTCACAAAGCCAAAGTTAGTCATTTTAAATGCAATTTGGGAGTATTTCATTAAATGTTGAGCAGCATCATTAAACATATCAAAAACATACGTTCTATGCTACGATTAATTTTTTTTAATTGGCTAATTTGACTGTTTGAAGTTTCATTGAATGTTGAACGTATTTAAAAAAAATCAAAACAAAGTGCAAAGTGAATTAATATCTATTGAAAAATCATGTGCTTTGAGAAATAAGTCATGTATAAACTATGGTTATTTTAATGTTCAACTACGTGGATTGTAATTTTGAACCCAATCTAGAAGACAAGGGAACTCTTGGATCCAGTATTAGGAGAAATTTGCTTTAGTGGAAGACTTTTTGATGGAACTAAACTCCATTTGCGTTGCATAGACAGAAAGACCACGAGAACCTCCCACGGTTNATTATTTCAAACGGCACATTGGAAAACCTAACTTTAAATAAAATTTCACAAAACAAGAAATTAAAAAAAAATTTCAAATTTAATATTCAAGCCAAGCTTTGGAAATAGCTATTATATTGTTCTTAGGTATTTGTTACATAATATCGACATAAATTTACACTTATCAAAATTAAGAAATTGCGATCACCGAAAGCTGATCACAGGTTACCCATTGACAAAATGGTTGTCGTCTAATTTTTTTTTACCCACTTTATTTGTGATATTCACCTGAATTAGTATTGAGAACGATCCAATTTGAACTGTAGGTTAGAATTTCTGATTTTTAATTAAAACAATAAAAACAAAATATCTTTCAAATGATGAAATTCTCTTTTATTCACAACTCAGAGAATGGGATCTCTCTAGTCCCTTATCTCAAAAATAAACTCACCAACTTAATGCATAACAAAATTAAAAGTCAAGAAAAGAATTCTAAAAAAAATATAATACAGCAGCGGTCGCCATAGCAACGCATGCAATGACGACGCATGCGCTCTGTTTACTATTACTCTTGAACACAGTTGAAAAGTGTGATGACGTATAAGTAAGGTGCACACGACATCAATCCCAAAACAACACCCATTGTGCCAGCGGGTAATAAAATAAATCTTATGCCATTCATTACAATTAATAACATTTTTTTAAAAAATAGCTTTTAAATAAAATGCATGCTCCGGCGTATTACGCGTAATTTTATTTTCGATTTATTATTAGTTATCGAAAAAATATTAAATTTAAAAGTCAAAGTAACTGTCAATAACTTTGCACAAATAAAATCACGCGTAATGATTTTAATAATATTTTAAAAGGTTTAAGGAATAAGTTTGGCATTTCTAAGTGGAAAAGTTTAAGAAATGAAAGAATTAAACTTTTTTGTAAAAAAAGACGAGACATTTAGCGTAGGATTAAATAAGATTTTTTAAAAAAACGCACACACAATTTGAAAGGAAATAATTTTTCTTTAAAACTTATATCATCAGCCGTAAGTCCAACAATTCAAAATTATATTCAAAAAAAAAATCTATCTCAATATAATTTATTCCCTTAAAAAAAAAAAAAAAAAAANGATAAAATTAAAAAAAAAAAAAAAAAAAAGACGAATTTCAGACTTAAAATCCATTTAGAACTCATTTACTGATGATGTAATTCTATTGATTTTGAAGAAGATTATCGGATCTGGCTTCTTTTAACAAAAATGTTATGTCATCCCGTTTTACAAAGTCAAAGTTATTAATTTTAAATGCAATTTGGAATATTTCATTAAATATTGAGCAGCATCATTAAACATATCAAAAACATATGTTCTATACAACGATTAATATTTTTTTTTAATTGGCTAATTAAACTGTTCCAAGTTTCATTGAATGTTGAACGTATTTAAAAAATTAAACAAAGCGAATTAATATCTATTGAAAAATCAAGTGCTTAGAGAAAGAAGTTATGGTCAAACTGTGGTTATTTCATTTTATATTTTATAAACGTCGACCCAATTTTTGGGTTTACGACTACTAATGTTCAACTAAGTAGCCTTGTAATTTTGAACCCAATCTAGAAGACAAGGGTGCTCTTGGATCAAGTATTAGGAGAAATTTGCCTTCGAGGAGGACTTTTTGATGGAACTATACTGCATTTGCGTTACATGGACGGGAAGACGACGAGAACCTTCCACGGTTAGCCAGATGGCGAGGGGACTTTACCCCATGATCCGTCTACAACTGAGGATATTTCACGAAAGCACTGTGGTCGGTGCAAGCCGGATGCTGAATTCGTACCGACCAGCCATTGCTAGGATTCGAACCCGGTTCACCTCATTGGAAGGCGAAGGCTCTATTCTCTGAGCCGTCGCAGGCTCAACTGTGGTCATTTATTTAAAGAGTTCTTACTGAAAAAGAGCCGTCTTTTAAGAATAAAATGTACAGTATACTCTTGATATTTTAAAGTTGAAGGGAAGCTAAAACAATTTCGAGATAGCGCGTTTTTGAGATAAAAAGTTCAGGGCTCGCCATGTTCTAAAAAGTAGAAAAATATCTTCTAAGATAGTACTCTAAAAAGCAGAGTAATGATACACAAAAATAACTACTAGTATGTAATGATAGTTGACTATACTGTCCCTGGCCAAATTATTGGGCGTACTATAAGAGAAGTAAAATCTTAATTATCAGTTGATACTATACAGCTTTATTGTTTTTACGCAACTGAAACCGGTTTGCACTTGTTTACCTCCGTGTATCAATTTGTTAAATTAGACGATATATAATATAAATTCGACGATTAGATAAATTAGACGATATATTAGATAAATCTAGAATATTTATTATATCAGGTATTATATTAGTACATTATAATAATTAAACCAAATTACTAGACGCACTGTAATGTTTTAATAATTAAAGGATTTGCACTAGTTTATAAACAATACTTTTATATTTAAACACATGTAATGGGTTTTTATACAGAAGATTTTTTTGTATACTTCCCATTTATATTTATTTTTAACGTATTGCTTTACAATGTTAACTAATTGATACACGAAAGTAAACAAATGCTAACCGGTTTCAGTCGCGTAAGAACAATACAGCTGTATAGTAGTATCACCTCATAATTAAGATTTTACGCAGAATCTTATAGTGCGTCTAATAAGTCTAAATACAGTAATAAAGGATAAGGAAAAGAACAGCCTCTCTCCCCTTCTTCTGCAGCCATCATTCCAACGCCCCAATTTCCCCCGCCCCACCACCATTCCTTTTTAATCAAAAGAAACAGTTTTCGTTTGTTGCTTAAAGAATTAACTTCCAGCCGGGGCTTATACTTGTGAAGACGAGGCAGACGGCCGATATTTTTCCACTTTCATGTTTTTTTCATAAATATTTCATATTATCATACATGTAAATTCATTTTATTATTAAATATTTCAGTCATATAAAAAACTGTTCATTCCTCGAAAACCCCACAGTAATGATAAATTTATTTTTAAAAGTAAGACAAATATTAAGTAGAAGCAATATTAAGTAGACTCAGTAAGTAGAAAATAATTGGTTTGCAATTAGATTACATTGGGATTCTTCCGAAAACCGTTCCTTTTGCTATTTCGCAAAACATTCGACATAACAAGGTTTTGAGAATAAACTCTTCGACATAGGAATTCAAATTAACATTATGTGGATATTTGATGCCAAAGGGGGGGGGATATTTTTTTTGACGTAACAAGGTTTTCCGAGATATCAAGATGTATTCGAAGTATGCGGCGATTATGTTTGATTGTGGATTTATGTTTGACTGCGACCGCATCATTGCGGCATTTACGAATTCCTCTAATCTAATTTAAACTGATGTTGCTTTTATTCATTCTTACTGCGTATCCCTAGTTCGAAATAATTTTAGCTAAACATATTCCTGCGAATGAAAATGATTTTGGCCACCACAACAAGCAATAAATTCAAAGATATCAGGGTATTATGGGGAATAGTAGAAGGTTGACGTAATAATCGACATAGATGAAGGTTGACATAATAATCGACAATGTCAACCTTCATCTATCAAAAGGTACCCCATGATAGAATCGAGTTAACACGTCTTGTATACTAGAGAATTGGAATGATACTTTTGTAGTGGTAGATACACTACAGTACTCCCCCACCAGAATTATATCTGTGATAGAATTAGATGAACAGCTTCCACTAGCTGATTCATTGCTGTTTTATGAGAAGCCGGGAGAGCTGTATTAAGATCACCGTACTTTTTGCGTGCTGATTATGAGAGCTGTATTAAGTTCACAGTCGTGGTCGCTCCTGTGTTGCCTTTAGCAGTCGAGTGTATACGTTGTGCGTGATCGAGACTGAGAAGCAACAGCGCGAGGAGGTGGATAATGTCGTAGACACAAGTAGCAAGTCAACTGTTTAATGTGGACCATCCATTGAAGTAGGCGTGTTCAAATTGAAGTGGGCGTTTCTCTCAAAGTGGATAACTACTAGCCCCACACTGTCACCAGTGTGGGGCTAGTAGTTATCGACAATGCCAATCCTCATCTATGAAAAGGTACCCCATCATGGAATCGAGTTAATATGTCTTATATACACATATGCCTTTTGCGCTTATTTTGTTTCTTCTTATTTGTTGCGCTTGAACGTTTGTTTTAAACGCTTATTTTGTCACGAACGTTTGTTTCGAACCCTTATTTTGTTACAAACACTTGAAAGTTTGTTTTGAATGCTTATTTTGTTACGATCATTGAAATACATTTCGAAACATTAATTTTAAGTATTATTTTGTCATGTATTCATTGAATGCTTTCGATCATTGGCTTTTCTCTAGTGCAATTTTCATTAATTTCCAACGTCTTTTATTACGTTGTTCATATTTCGGGGTAAATATGCGACTCTTGTTTCCGGAAACAAAAGAAAGAGCATATTTTATCGAGAATTGCCTTCAATAAGATTATCATAAGAATCGTCGCTTACTTAGAAAAAAATGAAAGAGTGGATATGCTTTATATGGATGCATACGTTTGAAAAGATATTTAACCATTTAAATAAGTAAATTTAATCTGAATTTAACTAAAAAAAATAAGAAAAAGGAGTTAAACAAATAACTTTTACCTTATAAATAATAAATACGGAATCTTTTTTTTTTTTGTAACCGTCGTTGAACAGCTGACCCAATTTTACGGGTTTACGACTACTAATGTTCAACTCCGTAACCTTGTAATTTTGAACCCAATCCAGAACAAAAGGGAACTCCTGGATCGAGTATTGGGAGAAATTTGCCTTCGTGGAAGACTGTTTGAGGGAACTAATCCACATTTGCGTTACATGGAGAGGAAGACCGCGAGAACCTCCCTCGGTTAGCCTGATGACAAGGGGACTCTACCCCATGATACGTCTACCACTGAGGATATTTCACGTCAGCACTGTGGTGGGTGCATGCCGGATGTATTGACAGGGATTCGAACCTGGTTCGCCGCATTGGAAGGCGAACGCTCTATCCCCTGAGCCATCACGGCTCAAATACGGAATCTTATCGCTTAAGCTTACAATTATTTTTTTTTCCATTTTTTATTTATATGTTTCCTTTTATTTATTTATTTCAAACAAAACTATTGGACCAGGATAACCTGATTGTTAGGACGTTGGGCCCATGTCCAAGAGGTCGTGAGTTTGATCCCCGTCGACTGAAGACTTCCGTGTACAAAATGGTGCCTGGTGCAAGCTAAGTCTGTCTTGATCACAAGGGCTTCGAAGTTCCCATAACAAATCAATACCTTGGGGGCAAAAGCGCAGGCAGGGGGGTGCAAGGAGGTGCATTTGCACCCCCTGGATTTTTTTTTTAACAATTAAAGAGACACAAGAAAAAAACAACTTTGCTATAAAAAATTTTTATTAAAAATATTTTTATTCAAAAACAAATAATTAAGTAATTAATGATACATAACAATTAAAGAATTGTTTAATCAAACAAAAATTGTTATCGTCTTGTTTGCTGTCCAAATCTGTTTATAACTTTTTCAATGCTTTTCAAGTCATCTTTGATTCTTTTCTTATGCACACTGAGCATGCACAAACTACTCAATCTCTCGTGAGACATTGTAGACCGATTCCATGTTTTGATGTGTCGCATTGTACTAAAGTGCGTTCAATAGTGCGCGTAGTAGCTGCAAGAGTTAGGCCAATTTTGATTGCCTTCGCTGCAGCTGGATAAAACGGTGTGGCCTCAATAACTAAATCGAGGGATTCATAAGAATTTTCTCTATTCCTCCACATTTCGTGACACGTTGTAGCTTCAGTGATGAAATTCGGTGAGAGCAGATCTTTATACCTAGAATATGGGCAGATCTCTAAAACCTTTAACTTTTATATATATATTTCTCTTACACGGCGACAAAAAAAAGCCTCATTACAACTCCCCGAATGGCAACGCTAGAAAATCGACCAATGATTGCCGCTAAAAATGTCACATGCCAAATCTAGTTCAGGTGGCTCAACATATGGCGCTTTTAAAAACGGAAACGGAAATAACTTTAAGTTGGGCAGAAGTGAGAAGTCTTTGTCGATAGATCTTTATTTAGATATTTTATCGAAAGCGCTTTTTTTCACGAATTTATATATTACGAATTTATTTGACGATTTTTGATTTATTTCACGAATTTATTTGTTTCATTGTTGTTATTAGTTATTCATTGAAAAATGAGCCTCAGTCGTGCTGTTGCGATTTAAGATTTTATGCTATAGCACATTTCTAACAGGTTTAACGAATTACATGTCATTTATTTGAATTCAAATTTATTTTAATGACTTAGTATTTACTAAAAAGATGTATTTTTTTTTAAAAAAAGTTGTTATGTGGATTTGAATGATTGTTTTGAATTTTTAGAATTTTGTGCATTTGCAATGTACCTAAGTTAGCAGCGGGCGAAGCGAGCTTGGTTTGCGACCAAGAGATATAAGATTGCGACCAAACCATATAAGATTGCGTAGCAATTTTCGGGGGTTGGCGAGCTTTAGCGAGCAGGGGGCCAGCCCACTAGTTTGATAATAAAAAAATAATAATAATAAATACTATTTTAGGCACACTATTTTTACACCTCCAGAATTGCTTGAAAATGTATAAAATATCAGAAAATAATCGTGAACATCAAAAATTTTAATGCCTTTATAAGTATAAACAAAAAATTAAAATTTTTGAACTAATTTTTCTAGGTTTATATACATTTCATTAAAAATCATAAAAACGACAAAAGTATTATTTATTTAATAAACATATAAACTTATTGAATCTATTTTTCTTTTATTGAGCAATTTTTTATTTTTAATAATTTCATCCATATTTTCCCTTTCTTTTTCATCAAAAATTATTAATATCATAAATGAATTGAAAAATTTTAATATTAAGTTTAAATTGTTGTAAAATGTATAAAAAGGTATACTTTAATTATTTTCAGTCAAAAAATATCTTCATTTAGTAAAACATGGGGAAAAACTAAGTTCTGGTATGTTAAATTCAATTAATTAATCCTGCGGTTACGGTTTGACAGGGTTACGGTCTGGACAACATAGGGAATAGATCGAAAACTTTACTCAGATGCAACGCAATGCGATGCACACAACACAGAAAATAAATTGGGCAATGACAAACATGTGATCAAAATTTCGATTGATTTTAACATTTACTTTTTAGATCTGCGTCTGATTACGGTCTTGACATCGTAACTGTAACCTCACCGAATGACAGTTTGTGATTATAAACCTAGAAAAATTAGCTCAAAAATTTTAATTTTTTGTTTAGACTTATAAAGGCATTAAAATTTTCGATGTTCACGATTATTTTCTGATATTTCATACATTTTCAAACAATTGGGTATACTATAGCCTACGTCACAGGTTGTGTTATTCCTACTAAATTTAACCCATGAACGGCATTTTCTGCGAGCCTAACTTCAAGCCACAAATAAACAAACGAAGTCTTTGATCGTTTAAATAGCTGCTCGCCAGATTTTATTGCATTATAAAGAAAAGTAATTGATATTCGATTTTTGATTAATAATTGATTTATGTGGATAGTGGCATAGAATTTAGCATTGCGCCATGGTAAATGTTATTCCTACTAAGTGGAAGTAGTTGTGTTTTTTTTTTATATTATACCCAATTCTGGAGGTGTAAAAATAGTGAACCTATTATTTTTTATTATTTTTTTTTTATTATCAAAAGTTGAAGGCAGGCATAAGTAGGTTTTACTGTTAGCCTGTGTCAGAAATAAACATCTTTCGAACTAAGAAAGGGAAGGACAATCAAAATATCTCAAAACAATCAATGAAAAACCCAATAGGGTAGCGCAAAATAATTTTGACCTGTTGTAAATATTTCGTGTTGTTAATTTATTTCGTAATGAATTTCAGGACTTCTGAAGACGAGGAATCTTCTCTTCCAGGAAGGTTGCTGCATTTAATAGGTAATCCCTATTTTGAAACTTTTTTTTTGTTCAATATATTTTTCTCAGATTTTTATACGTTGTATTTAAAGTTTTGAAATAAACTTTCAATGCCCCTTTCTTTTGTGCATTTACAACTGAAAGTACAAAATATTAGAATACTTGAAAATGTCGTAATTAAAAAGCCTCTTGCTTTATTTATTTGTTTTTTACTTACTTAAAATAAATTACGAATATAAAGAGTTAAATTCATATATTTTGCATTATTTCTAATCATAAAAATTTAAAATAAATCATATAGTATGTTTTTTTTGTTTAAAAAATCATAAAGTGAACTTTATGTTATGGAACATATTGGAATATTTCATTACGAAAACTGAAATTCGATTATAAACGGAAACAAAAAGTTACTTTATATTATGTACCTTTAAACTTGATTACTGCACATAAAGGATCTTACTTGGAATAAATTTGTTTTAAAACCAGTTTTGCTAAATTTACGAAGAGCAAAGTATGACAGTTTATATCAGAAGTAAATGTTTTCTCATATTTGATTTTGTTCTTATTTATCATTATGCTATTTGAAAATTTGTGTTTTGAACAAAGCAAGCTTTCACCTATAAAAATACAAGGAAAAAAATAAAACCATTAATTAGGTATGATAAAAATAAAATGTAAGATAATCGTACTAAAATTATATTAGCTTTCACTACATAAATTGTCGAAAAAAAGGCTGGAATTTAGTCAAAAATGAAGGTATTATAGCTATAATAAGAAGTTGTGTCAACAATTTCAATAGTAACCTATCGTTAAAATTGATATATAATTATACTCAACTGTCGGTAGAAATATTTATATTATGCATGATATTAGAAATATATTTATATTATATATTATCAAAATATGCATTGTTTTCTTTTGGTAATTATATTAACTGTATTATTTTTAAGAATCGTTTAAATTCGAACATTACAGATACGATGCAGTGATTGAATTTTTTAAAAAACAATAACAGCAACAAAAATAATAATAATATTAAATAAATAATTATAATAATAATAATAATAAATTTAAAAAAATAATAATAATAATAAATTTAAAAAAAATAATAATAATAAATATAAAGTTTAATAATAATAACAATAAATATAAAGTTTTTGGTCTGTATCTTTTCCAAAAACCAAGTCTTTCCAAAACGTTAATTTCATTAATAATGTCACGCTTTTAACAAAAAAAATTTTGCTTCCTGATTCGAAAAATGAATGCTGTTAGTTATTACTTTACATTTATTTGAAAGATCTCTACTTATTATTGTAAGTCGCCAAATTCAAGTCAAGGTTATTCTAACATTTATGTCAATGAGAGCGATTTTAAAATATTATTTAAAAATAGCCGAATCGTTTTTTAATTAAAAATACAACCGATTTCTAGGCAATATTTTTTTCATGTTTAATCAATTCTTTTGAATATTTACACTGTTAAAGTAAATTATAAGCCGGGATAGCCTGCTTGGTAGGTCGCTGGACTCACGTTTGCGAGGATGGGAGTTCGAATTCATCCAGACGAAAACTCCCCGTGTAGTGGATGGTGACTGATCCACGTTGAATCTGTCGAGTCACAAAGTCCTCCGTATTCCCATAACAAATCAATACCTATGGGGGTACTAAATTGGAGATAGATCGTTCTCTGGTTCAGGGCAAAATTATGATCTGTGGATGAATGAGTGGGTCCGCCCTATAAATGGGTGTGACGCATAGATGTGACAGAAGTCGAAGTCTTGGTCCTAGATGGCACCACTGGAAAACAAGAACAATCGCACCTCCTTCACCTTAATGGTTGACATCAACAACAAAAGAAATAAATTGCAATTGCTTTTCTTTTGTCGGTCTCGCCAATAATCAAGAGGTGTGAATAAATTGCATCAATTCCTCCTCCACTGAGATGAGGTGAATAAAAACTAAATTCTTGGATTGAATTGAACAAATATTTCTATCTCTCTTTAACTTTATTCTCTACATTTTATTTTTTTATTACATTATACTTTACACTTTATGCTTAACAGTTTACTTTACATTCTACTTTTGTTTGCATTTTATTTTATATTTTACGCTTTACAAAATGCTTAATTTTATTTTACTCTCCACTTTTTATTTAACTCTTTATTTTTACTTTACTTCACATTTTACTTCACTTAACATTTTACTGTACATTACTTTTTACTTAACTTTGCTTTTAAAGTGCAACGTTATGGTGTATGCTAATAAAATAACTGATATCAAAATGTACTCAAAAAATAAGATTTAAAGGAAATGCGATAGTGCTTCAACTCATTCTTTAGCTTTCAAGATCGCATTCCACTAATCTATATATATATATTTCTCTTACACGGCTCCAAAAAAAGTCACATGGCAAATGTCACATGAGGTGGCTCAACATATAGCGCTTTTAAAAACGGAAACAATAACCAGAGTGAGCATTATCAGGTTGTTCAATTCAGATTCATGCCCTAAAAACATGATAATATTTAATTTAAACTCAATTAGGAATTAATTAGGCTGGCCTTCTCCATGACTATAAATAAGTCACAAGGTCAGACTTTTGAGAAAATCAGTTTAGTATTGACTAAACAAGTTTTTAGTCATGGACAACTTTATGTTGGCCTGTCAAGAGTTAAGTCATTTGACAGCCTTTCAGTAATTGCTCCAAGATGCCAAATCTATAATTGTGTTTTCAAAGAAATTCTAAATGCTTAGTGTTAATTTCTTAGAGCTTTGCAGAAAAAAATGTTTTTTGGAAAAAATTTAATTGAAACTTCTATTGGCAGTAGGCAAGGGGAACTGCCAAAATCAAAACTCCCCGATTAGAAATGCAGCATGGCGACCTCCACGTGGTATTTCTCGGGTAATGCTAACAGCCATGCATTTTAATTTATTGTATGTAAAACATCCTTATTTTGTTCTAAAATGTTATGTACTTTATCACAAATGTTAATTAATATAGAAATTGATTTCAATAATGCTGATCACCAAAAAATATTTCATTTGGCGATAAAACAAATTTTTGTGTTCTTGAAAATGAAAGACTTTTTGAGGGTTATTATCTCACAAGGAAAAGTTAGGGTTTAAAGTTTATATTTTTAAATAATAAAATTTTTTTCTAAAACTTTCAGAATTTCTAGCATTAACTAATTTATTATACACATTTAGTTGAATTTAGGTGAGTAACTGCAATATTTGATAATTTATTTTGCTAATATGTTTCTCATTTAGCTAATGTTTTGATTTTTTCACCATGTACAATCTAAATAGCTAATATACTTTTTTAAAAGCCAATTAGAACATTGATAGAATTCTTCTACATAAGTACAATACTATGTCTTTGATGATAAAATACTATGTCTTTGATGATAATATACGATGTCTTTGTGCTAGAACATTGTGTTCATTGTCGCGCGAGCGTAGCGAGCCATGGTTCACGGCGTGAACCGCATAGGATTGCGTAGCAATACTCGGGGGTTGGCGAGCGTGAGCGAGCAGGGGGCGGAGCCTCCTAGTATGTATATATTAGAAAGTTTTTTTTAAATTTTGGTTTTATGATTTTTCAGGGAATGTGGCCGACAACAATTTCTGTGATCTTCAAGTTAAAGTAAACAAATTCGTAAGTATCTCTCTCTATCTCTTTGTCTAAATATTATCGATCTTTATGAGAAGTTTCCGTTCTCGTGTCGTTTTCTTTAAATACTTGCCTCAAGTTTCGTTTGTTATTCCTTATTGGATTAAATTTCGTACAAAGTTGAGGCAAATACAGTCGGACCTTTAGTTAACGAAGTCGCTAAATCCCGATAATAAGTTCGTTATATGGAAAATTCGTTAAATAGAAAATCATCTTTTGAAATACATAAACGACACAAAACAAGTTTCAAATTCATAAACCCTAGACATAATTAAAAAATCAATGGATACACCTTTATATTGTAAAGTAGTATCTACTATTTATTTTTTAAATCTTATTCATAAAAGAAATCTGCATTGAAGGCAAGAATAGAGCAAATAATTATCCAGTGTTACACAATCATGCTACATACATTTTCAACTAAAAAAAGCTGAATTTATGTATAAAATTATAGCTGCATTTATTATAAAAATAATTTTAAATGTACATTACTTCATGCGTTCTAAAGTTTAATTGCTACTGATAAAATTCGTTAATTTCGTCGTTTATGTTAGAGTTTTTGGTTTGAAATGATTTTACTGCTTTCTCTAAAAGTTAAGTGGCTTTGAAATTCAATTCAAGGTTATTTCCCCCATAAAATACGTTAACAAGTTTCAAATGTTCTGAAATATTTTGGGAAATAGGGAAAGTGGATCTCAAAGGAAAGTTCGTTAAATAGAAAGATCACTTCGCTATTTGGGAGTTATCTTACGAGGAAATTTCCAAAATGTTCTTGGTTCCTTGAAAAAATACGCAAAATAGAGAAATTCGCAAAATGGAAGTTCGTTATATAGAAGTCCGACTGTATTTATATTTTGGCTAACTTCGCTACGTCATAAAACGAAAAGATGACCATTGCATGATTCCTCGTGCATGAAAAGTGATCATAGAATGTTACTTTTATCATGTTATCTCTTTTCCTCGTATGAGTCTATCGATTTTCTTCCCAACAGAATGGACTACCGAAATAGGGTAATTTTCGTCATTGTCACGCAGTGTGTAATATAGTTGTTACTGTGAACGACCGAAATCAGGAGAATGTCGATTTTCACCAGCGAATGTCAACAATCACATAGTCGCTTTGG